GGGCAAAATTGGGTCGCTCTCTATCTACCTGATAATACGTGTTTTGACACTTTTGGTTTTTGATCTTTCATGTATTTTTCCTTATTTTTTTTCTATTTTTTTCTTTTTTTTGGAGTCATTTGCATGTGGTGTTTATCGTGTGGGTAGGGTGTCATGTTTGGGGCCCTCTCATACAATTTATTTATATTTCTTCTTTCTTTTTAATATATTAGCCCTTGGCCTTTCTAAATATATATATATATTTTTTAGAAAGCCCAAAAACTAATATATTAAAAAAAAATACTATTTGCTATCGCTTGCATTCTCATCTAAGACTAGATATTGCTAAAGATCAACAACTTGATCAAAAATCTATTCATTCTGAATTGGGGGTGGACGTCTTGCCACCTACCATCCCTGCTGAGTAGGTGCAACCCGACCCTCTTTCCAACACCGCATATACATCTGCTCATCTGATTGACACTGTTCCTGATGAAGAACATCATACCCAAGTTGTTCTACCCCTATATGCTGCTGCTTTTGAACATTATTCCAACTGCTGGTTTAGAGCGTGGTACTTTGGAGTCCCATTAAACATCTCCCCATACTACAAGTGTTGATCCAAACGTGTCTATACCACTCATTTTTATTGAAGAAGACTCACATGCCAAGACACTTGAGGTGCTCCTTTGATCTAATAAAGGATCAGCTGGTACAACAAGTAGTTGCTTTCAATATTCAACAACCCACACATGTCCAACACACTTTTGACCCATCCACTGATCAGATGAGTCAGTCTTTGGATGAGGAATGACATGTCTATTTCAGGAGGAAGAAGAAAAATGGAGGCCGACTCAAGCTAATGAACTTATTGGACGATACATTGGTTACTACTGATAATGACACTCATCTTACCAATTTGTTAGTTGGCTCCTTTCCTAGAACTAGAGGCAGAGTCAGGGCAAAATTGGGTCGCTCTCTATCTACCTGATAATACGTGTTTTGACACTTTTGGTTTTTGATCTTTCATGTATTTTTCCTTATTTTTTTTCTATTTTTTCTTTTTTTTGGAGTCATTTGCATGTGGTGTTTACCGTGTGGGTAGGGTGTCATGTTTGGGGCCCTCTCATACAATTTATTTATATTTCTTCTTTCTTTTTAATATATTAGCCCTTGGCCTTTCTAAATATATATATATATTTTTTAGAAAGCCCAAAAACTAATATATTAAAAAAAAATGATACATATAGATTGTGTGGAAGGGCCCAACCATGACACCCTTCCCCCACAATAACCATCACATACAAATGATTTGAAAAAAAGAGAAAATACAGAAAAAAAATAAAAAATGTCAAAAAACGTAGTATCGGGTAGCTAGAGAAGAACCCAATTTTGTTTTGCCTCTACCTCTAGTTCTAGGAAAGAAGCCAGCTAATAAATTGGTAAGATGAGTGACATTGTCAGTAGTGACCAAAGTATCATCCAATAAGTTTCCAAGCTCGAATCGGCCTCCAGTCTTGTTTTTACTCCTGGAATAGACCTGCCATTACTCATCCGAAGATTGACTCGTCTGATCAGTAGATTGATTAAAGTGTGTCGGACATGTGTAGGATGTTGAACATTAGAAATAACTGTTTGTTGTACCAACTGATCTTTAATTGAATCAAAGAAACACTCTCGTATGTCTTGACATGTAAGCGAGTCTTCTTCAATAATAGTGAGTGATATAAACACTTTTGGATCTGTACCTGTAGTATAATGTTCTTCATCAAGAACTGCAATGTTAGATAGAGGATTGGTTTGCACCTTCTTAGCAGGGATGGTAGGTGGCTGATCTTTAGCGATATTCAAATTATGTTATGTTGTAGCTTTCTCTCCAGATGAAACAGATATGTTCAGAGTAGTGGGATTAGATCCATCATCATTCACTTGATCTTTAGATTTCAAATTAGGATGAAACTTATGACATTTATCAAGTGTATGTCCAAACATCTTACAATGAAAACAGTAAGACAGTCTATGCTCTATGACGATTTGTTGTCAATATTCATTATGAGTTGTGCCCAACCAGACTTCAGTAACATCAGGTAAAGTAATATCTCTTTCCACAAGTGTTCTGACCACAGAAGGTCTGGTTAGGTTGAAAGTCGGTAGATCTAGCTTCATAGAGTCCTCAAATATAACCCCAATAGAGTAAAGAACCTGATGATGAAAAAAGTGCAACTTGAAACCTAGTAGTTGAACCATATCGGTACAGTATGAGGTTTATGCTTGGGGTCAAAATCAGGAGACCACTTGAGTAGCTTCATTGATTTACCAGCAATGTTGAGATATTTTTTTGAGAAAATTCGAGTGTAGTCTTCGGTCACGATTAATTGAATCAATACATGTCTCTTATCCATGAGCCTCACTTTTCACTTTCCTGCTAATTTGAGATCATCAAAACTTTTTCTGACCATAGGTGGGTGGCCCCTCTTAAATTTTCCAATAAGAACAAACTTGAATTTGTGAGTCAGGGTTGAAATTTCTAACTTCGAGAAAAAGAGTGTTGTTTTCCCACTTTTCCTGTTTGCATTCTTAATAAATTGATAGTCACCTGTACCATCACGATATTCCTCATAATAAGAACAACCTTCGTCTCCACCTGAGGATTGCCCACCACTTGGGCAAATGAGGTTTTGTCGTTCAACCGAAGAAGAAGGAAGCTCCATCACAACAATTAGAAGCCCTGGCAAGTCGGTCAGAGGGCAGGAATGACGAGCCGAATACGGTCAGGAACCGAAGAGACCAAACACTCGGTGTTGTCGAGCTGAGTCGAGAAGGAAGACGAAGGAGGAAGACGAGCACCCAACCCCTTCTCTTTATCTGTGAGTAATCGAGGAAGATGAAGAAGGAAGATGAACCCGGGACCCCTTCCCGTCTTCCGTGAGATGTGAATCGGCGAAATCGAACAATGGCGACGCAGCAGATGCAAACTCTGTCAGCTTCGAATGTCGCAGACGTGAGCCGCAGTCGACGTCGAAGCAGCGCGTGCCGTCGATGCCAGAGAAGAAATGCGAGGAAAGGAAATGATCTTATGCGATAAGGGTGGCCAGAGGCTATTATACGAGTCCCAGTCATCCCTCATGCGCCTTGGCCATGGCCAGAGGCTATTATATGAGTCTCAGTCATCCCTCATGCGCCTAAGAATTTGAGTACGACACTCTACACTCGGGGGAGGATCGAACCCCAGACCAGAGGAAACTTACAACCGACAAACAAATGCCCGAACAATTGATCTGAGTACGCGGCACATATATATATATATATATATATATATATGATATATATATATATATAGATGAACCCTATCCTCTATAAGCAGAATGATATTGATATGGCTTTGTTGATAGAAGATTTCAACCGGAGGGGTTTATTTTCAAAATCAAGTTTCAACAAATATCTAAATAAGATCAATTTCTGAACTCGATCCTTCGTAAGTCGGGCAGAGTTGGCAAGGTTAAAATTCAGTCTTATGTTAATCATAAACCTGATTCTTTAATAGCAAGCAAGATGAATTGATTCAAATATTGACCACATCAGTTGACATGGTTCATGGATATTTTTTGTTCTCTCAGTTAATTGATTGTTTTAATTTTCTCAACATCATTTATCATCCGTGGAGTTAAAAATCCCCAAAAATATTAGGTATGAAATAATAAAATTAAATCTTATAAATTCATACATAAACCACGCAATGAATATGCTGTTGATAAAAAAATAGAAAAATTCCTTAAATAAAAACTACCTGATAAGCTCTGAATATCAACTTAGATTTTCTAAGTTCAAATTAATAGATAAATTGAAATATATTGCGTCGGAGTTGAAAATAAAAGGTAACAGGTTTTTTTGTGTAGGCCAATGTGAAAATCTTAAAGTCCAATGGAAATTATTCAATAATCTCATTAGGCATATCTTATTATGGCAAATAAACCAAATTTATGAGCTATTTAGGTTGATCAGATTTGACCACCCGCATGGAGTCACCTTGGCAGAGCAGCTTATAAAGTTATTTAAGCAAAATCAGCCACAAGGGGCAGAAGAGCTCAACTAAAAGTATGCTTGCTTAACTGAACCATGGAGATATCTTAAACTCCTATTCACCTCGTAAGTTTGTCCATTAGTCATTAGAGGAAAAACAGAAAGCTTTGACAAAATCCTTCAAAAGCTGTTCATGTAGCTAACATATTGAAGATACTATCGTCTTAGGGAGATCATTCATGTTAAACATTTATTAAAAAATAGCTTATGGAATGTGAGGCATCAACTATCTTATGGCAAGGAATTAAGTCTGCCGTCTTAGAGAAGTTCTAGTTCATGCTATTATTGTTTTCAAGGAGAGTGTATGAAGTGAAGATGAGCGTGTGATTGCTTGCGTGTTTTCCTTTTGAAAGTTGACATGTTGACTTGGAACCATAATGTCAGCAACTTCACACTAAAGGCTCAGTTGTAAAATTCATTAAATTATAAGTATAATGAATCACGCATAGAAATTTATACGGGTAATTAGCGGTCGTAAAATTTGACTTGAATTGATAAAAATAGCAGATCATGTAGAAACACTTGAAAAGCACCCCGTCGTGTGTGACAATGTGAAATGACTACCATGGAATCAATACAACTCGAGACTAAATTGTAAACCTAATATTTGCTTGTCTCCTCGCGTGATCACTCAAATTAAAACAAGATGGATGGATTGAATGGATGATGTTATTGGCCTTATAAACTTTTAAGTTATAAACTTGAAGATTCAAGATGAAATATTTCATTATCAATGCTGGTTGATAATTTATGAAGAAATTTGATTCATTTCTTTCCGGGTGCCAAAAAAAAAAAATGTTAAAGCTGTAAATTGTAAGTTATTTCTGTACATATCTTTACTGGCTTTATGCTATACCATGAAATATGAATTGATTCATCAAGATTGATGGATTTCATAATGTTCTTTTTGACATAATTATTTTCCATGTTCAAATCTTTAGGTACGTTTCATGCGTTGTGGGTTGTCCAGTTGAAGGAGTAGTTCCCCCCTGTAAGGTTGCTTACGTGGCAAAAGAACTCTATGAAATGGGCTGCTCTGAAATCTCCCTTGGTGATACAATTGGTGTTGGTACTCCAGGTGCGCAAATTGTCTTATTTTACATATTTATAATTGAATATATACTCTTGCTTATGGCAAACTAACCTGAAGAATCTTTTTTGAAAGAATTCATCGAAAGTTCTTGAGTTGATTTTCATTTAGTGCTTAGTCTCATCTTCTTCAATTAACTCATATTCATTTTCCGAGTAAGATATTTATTTTTCAACCATCTCATTTCCCATATTATCTTCCATCAATCTAATTATATTGTAGTTTCTTGTAATTGGAAAATTAGATTTAGTTAATGCCGCACTTATACTGAATTCTTTCAATCTTTTTATTATATTCTAACATTAGATTATTGAAAATTTTTATCTGATTATTAGTAGGCATTTATTAATAACAACATACAAGTAATAACCCTTTTCTTGGAAATAACTAGAAAAGGAGGGAGGGGTGGTGGGAATGGGTGGATAATGGCACATGTGAGAAGTTAGAATTTGAAATTTGCTTAGGATAAAAATCATTGCTAATTAGTCATAAAACTAGAAAAATAAATGAAGGCCAATTTAAGGAATGTTAATGAATTCTCCTTATTATTTAACCTGAAAGTGGCTACCACCTAGTTGGGTTTAGTATTTTAAAAGGCATTTTTAGGGATTGCCACCAACTGGGGCAGAGTAAAGCATCTTAGGGCAGTCAGTAGCGGCGTTTGGCCCCACAAGCTTAAGCCATCGCCTTAGAAATTTTGGCTTGATGCCTTATTAGTGTGGTGTCAATTTCATGATATATGTTAAACTATATTATATTAAATTATAAATTTATTTTTAACATTCTATAATTTTTTTTTCCAATCTATTTAAACATAGGAATGAATAAAATACAATAAAAAAAATCTTATAAGCTTTTCAGAGTTTTCCTATCAAACCTGCTTTCTCTCCTACAAGCTTAAAGAAATATCAACACCCTAATCCCACCTTGCCTTATATCGCTTCTCATTTATTTACAATCTCTGCTTGCTTTCCCAATAATCCTTGCTGTTTGGAGACCAAATAATTTAGTCTTTGCTATTGTTTGCCTCAAGAGATAGGCCCTATTTTTCAAGGGGGTGCACTTGGCCTAGTTAAGAGGTGCTATACTCTCTCCCAAAAATCTATACAATCTCATGCTATATAAGGAGTTGATTAGGTGGACTTTTGAATTCTCTTTCCATGTAAAAGTGAATGAGATTCTCAAATTTGATTGTTCCGCCTATAAAATTGTGGTCTAAATGAATTAATATAGATTTATTTTATTTTATTTTATTTTATTATTAGTATAGTGTTACTCCTTGTGGATAATTGCGGATGAGGGAGCATCTGTGATTTTTGTGGCCTTTTTAGGGCTTAGAGTGTGACTTCTAGCTTTGGCAAAGATAATATAATAATTACACTCAAATATTGCTATTTATAAAAGTATCATTCATATGATTTTTTGGACTATCAAACTGCTGTATTTATGCATGTCATGATCAAATCATTGAGAAATTGATAAAAATGAAAATTATGGTTTGAGGTTTTATTGTGAATTTTGATATTTAGGCGAAAATTTGAAAAATGGATGAAAAGTGGTTCTAGGTTTGTAAATAGCTATGTTTTTGTTTGCTATGTATGTAATTGCCCCTAATAAAAAAATTAATCGATGCTATAATTATCCCAACTTGATTTAAAAAATATTTCAAATTAGAATAGTGAAATCGTGGAACCCAGTCAATTAGCTAGAGTTAAATAATGATTGTTTAATATGGGTAAAGCTTCTATGAAAGAAACCTCAATTTTTTAGCACTTCAGTCTACTGGTTGAAAGTGCCTTCAATCGCACGGCTAACAGATGGTGAACTTGTATACGTTTAATCCATATTGAAGGATAATTCTTTGGATCAATACAATGATGCCTAGACTATTAAATAGCTTCTTCTTTTTAAGGAGTCTTCATGAATCTTCATTTAGCTGAACCCAACCATCTCAGAACAATATTTTTGGATCAGATTTATTTTTTCAATTTTGTTTTAGTATTATTATTTCCTTTTGATACTTTGTTTTCGTCTCTTAATCCATGATGTGATCCAGGTTCTGTTATTCCAATGCTTCAAGCTGTGGCCTCTGTTGTCCCTGTTGAGAAGCTAGCTGTTCATTTCCACGATACATATGGTCAATCTCTTTCAAATATTCTAGTGTCTCTTCAAGTAAGTAGCCTTTGCTGAATTTAGTAAATCTTGTTAGGATTAAAACCTGCAAACAACTTACCATGACAGCTATTAAACTTTAGGAAGATTTACATATGTATCCCTCAATTCCCATGATTTTAATATCTAACACCTAAATTTCAATTTTTACAAACATGCCACCTTCCCTTTGCATGACAAGGTGTATTCAACTTTTTAAAAAGTTAAAATGGTTCTATTTTTGATGTGATATGAAAGGTTTGGGTGGTTTAAATGTGAGATATATAAATACATAGGGATTGGGTGGTATGCATCAACTATTTTTCCATTTGTTTCATGATTTAAGCTGTGTGAATCTTGGATTTAACCAATAATGAGGATGAAATTGAATTTTTATCAAAATAATAGAATGTAAAAATGCCGAAACTTCCTTTTGGAAGATCTAAAGCTAAATCATACTTAAATCCCGTGTCTTAAATACATAAGCATCAAGCTTTCACAGAAATAATTTTATTTCTCTGGTATTTTCAGATGGGCATTAGTACTGTGGACTCATCTGTTGCTGGGCTTGGTGGGTGCCCATATGCGAAGGGTGCCTCTGGCAACGTCGCCACCGAGGATGTTGTCTACATGCTCAATGGGCTTGGAATTAAGACTAATGTCGATCTCGGGAAACTTTTAGCCGCTGGGGACTTCATTTGCAAGCACTTGGGGCGCCAATCTGGATCTAAAGCCGCGGTTGCGCTCAGCAGAGTCACAGCTAATGCTTCAAAATTGTAACATGGAATGATCAGAAATTTTCTCCAAATAATTTTCGTTCTAATAAACTATTAATAAGCTGTCTACAACTGGTAGCCTAGTGGTTGGAACCATAGTGAAGCATCCCAAGGGCCCAGGTTGAGTGCTCGATCTGTCCGCGCGCGCGCACACATTAATAAACCAAGAATGCTGATTGATTTCCTTGATTCAAGTACTGAAAGCACTTTGCTGTGTGCAGTTGGTCTTCTTGTTATCAGGCAGACAAAATTAGGTCCGTAGTGTATTATACCACATCATAATCTTATGGCAGATACCATCTCTTCAACTTTCAGTTGTTAATGTATCCATTTTTGAGTCATATTTCGCATGCTATTGTTTAATTATTTTTCATTACTTGTTGAAAATTGACACGCTTTACTATATGCTTAAAAAAAAGTGTTAACACAGGAGTTCCCCTGGAAAGCTAATGTGTTCCTAAAGAAGAATTTTATCATCTCTTATGCTAGAGTGTACCTTTATGTTAGTTTTAGATCTGCGCTGTAACGGAAGGCATGTGTTTGAGAATTTAATTTTGTTCTTTAATCAGTGGCTCTCTCTGAGAAATCAGCTTATTCTGGCGATACTATGTTGCTTACTATTTGAGACAGATCTAACTCAGATAATTCTTGTTTAGATTTAGATCTGGCTGATCCTCCTGTGTCTTTGAGGCCTAGGAAGTCTCTGAATCGGCCATATAGAAGGAGACCATGATACTCTTCTTACACATTTAGAAGAACATATATCACATATGATAGCCAAAATGAGCCTTTTCTTTGTTTATATCACCACAGTAGGTGAGAGGGATGGTCCCTAGTGGCCGCATCGGTTGTGTCGATTGTAGCGTGTCCTGCGACATATGATGCCCCCAGTCAGATCCAATACCTGTAGTTATTTTAGTGGATGCTTCATCATCATACCACGTTGCTTCGGATAGCCAGCCATGATGAGAAGATCAAAATATCTTGTGTAGCTTAATAGGAGAGTTATGTTAATAGGAGAGGGAGATAATACCCAAAGGAGTACAAGTTGATCCCTTACCCTAAGAGTTTCGTTCCCTCGTATTGCAAGCAATTTAAAAATATTAGGAACTCTTAGTAGCTGATTGTGCAATATAGAGTGTTTTGTTGTAATATTGGTAATAGTGACGCCTTATTGTTGCGTTTTTTTCATAACTAGTCTAGTCGATTTCAATTTTGGGTATGTCAAATTGACGAATGACACATTCAAGAATATTTTTGAGTTCGAGGACACTTTCGTCCAGAGGTGTGGCACACAACCTCAGGTTACAATGAACAACCCAATGTCTACCCAACATAAGCCATGAGCCTACGGTTAATTTTATCACTCACTGGCAGAACCTGAGAATGCAATGTGAGTTACTTTTCCAAAAGCAGCACATGGTCTCTTTCCTTCGTAATAAGTTGAGAGAGCATACTACGACACTTTTCAAGATGCATTCCAATAAAACCTTTGAGAAATTATTTTCAAAGGTATCTAGCTTGCAGGATACCCTAGGATCCTTATTTTTGAAAGATGAGGCCTTTTGTCTTCAGTAGCCCTGCAAAACAGAGTTTGCAGAAAACATTTTTTAATTTAATTGATTAGTTTTTATTTTTATTTTTATTTAAGACAACCTGATCAAGATGCCCATGGCTTTCCGTTGTCTCGGAGTTGTCAAGTTCCTTGATCTACTTAGTCTGAGAGGCATTCAAACCTACTCTAATCGGGATATTCTTGTCAGCAACCATTGGTTTCGTCGTCCAAGAGATCTTTGTAGACCTGGGTACCATGGTTAAAGTTTCGTTTGGTGTTTTGTGTTCATTAGGGTTTCATTTAAGTTTTAATGTCTTTTTCGGATTTTAAAGGTTGAAAATTTTAGATTGCTTAAGACTTCTTAGCTGATTAGATTTTGTGATTTCATGTTTTATTTTTTTATGTTTAAAATGACTCAGTTAAGATCCTATTGTTTTGTCTTCCCAGGGTCACTGGAATTTTTGGTTTGGTTAGTCACAAGTGATTGGAATGTGCTTTGTTAGCCGCCATGAGTTGCCTCCTCCAAAATACTTTTTCAAACCAGGCTGAATTTTATGGTTGAACTTTAAGTCTTAATGACTTTTAGGGTGAATTTTCTGTTGTATTTTATGTTGGTTTGGCATCTCAACCCAAATTGTTCTTAGGGGGGCATCTACTATTGGTTTGGGGCACCCATCTACTATTTTTTCCCTATGCCTGAATTATGGTGTTTCTTTTGGTAGTTGGGTGGAGCAGCTTCATCCTGAAGCCTATCTTCAAATAAAAAATTGGATTATACAGGGGACATGCAATGTTTGGAACTGGGCCTGGCCTAGCTCAGCCTTCTTCTTCTTCTTCTTACCCCATACCTTTTCCTACTGCCATGATGAACTTCATTGCACATAAATTAGGGAGGCTTGGGGATGATATCTCTATTGTACTGGCTGAAGTGTAGGGGTTAGTTGATCATTGTGCACATATGGATTAAGAAAAAAAAAACCAATTTGATGAGGTTGTTTGCTTCCAAGCCTCTCAGCTGGAGATGTACCTGAGAAATCAGTGAATTGGATGTGACAATCTTATTGAGTTCCCAATGTATTCTCCTTACTAGCCCTATGAGCACAGTGTCAGCCAATGGAGGAGGATTCTGAGGAAGAGAAAGAAGATGAAAAAGATGAGTTGAATGAGTTACTATATTTCTTTTGTTTGGATGTATAGGATTTTATTTTAGTCGCTACTGTTGTTAAATTGTGTTTTTGTTGGCTCGGTTTGTACTTTTATTGTGAAACTCTATATATTCCTTTTCTAAATATTTGAACTTTCTTGTGGAATTTTGTCTAGTATGGTGTTTTGTTCATTTCAGTAGCACTTTTTGTTATATATTTGTTGATTCGTTGTTCATATGAGCATAAGGTAGAAAGTATTATTGTTATTTATCTTTCCATTTGAATTCATGTTCAATTTGCGACAAGTGTTTGCAATTAACTTTTTAGAGAAGAATCTCATGGCACTTAAGATTATTTGTCCTAGTAAATTAAATTTAAATAGTTATTTTTAATTAACTTGAGGAAAGTTGAGATAAATATGGAACTATAATAATCTTGAGAAAAGGAGAAACATAGTCAACTAATTTAAAGTCTATGTAAACTAGGTTAGACTAGTGTTAAATAAACTTTCCAATTCAGCATATATAAAATTGATTAGCATATTTAATTTTAAAAAGTATTAAATATCTGTTAAACTAGGTGCACTAAGTTGTATATTTAACATGAATTTAGCCTCCATAGAATTGTATTTTTTTTCTAATACTTAAACTCTTAAAAACATTAAAACGAAGAGGAATGTGGTGTGTTTTAATTTAAAAAGATGATAACCGAATTCAAAATTATTATATGACTTATCCAGATATGGTAATCCTCAAGGAATTATGCTTATGCTTGAAACATGCATTCTAAAGTATGAAAATAATAAAAAGAGGTTTAAATGAAATAACATAATGAGAAGAAGCTTTAGGAGAAGCCTTACAAAAAATTGGTTTTACTAAAATTCTTTTTAAATTAAAAACTTTATTGTATTCCTAATTTATTTATGTTTATGAAGTGTTAGTAAACTATTTAAAGGAGCGTTTAATTCTATATATTTGATATCTAATGTGCACTATTTATGCATTTACTAATTCTTTTTTGAAATGAATATGCAATCATATTTAATTTTTCGAATGTAAAGTTTCTTATAGCCTATGGACTGAATTTATTTACTAGAGATATTGCATTTTCCTAGCCATAGATCTTTTGAGGCATGATTGTAGATAGTTTTCCATGAAGCCTACTTCTATAAGTTAATTTTTTCAGTATTTAAGCTTTAGTGTTACTTGGGGATTAGTAACCTTTAATTTTTGAGGATTTTGATGTGTAGATAATTTGGCTAGTATTTTTTGATATTTCTATTCATTTTTACGGATGAAATTGCACTTTAGCAAAGTTTTTTTTTTGTGTTTATCCTACAGGTATAATAAGAAATTGAAGTGGGAAAACTAGGACAAGACTTAGAGCTTAAAGGTGCAAAGTGGCACTGGCGTTGGACCCTTAGGAGCACCTAGACCATAGTCCTTGCTTTACCAACCTAAAAGGTTGTTGTTTGGGGACCAAGCTTTGGGTGCCTAGGCATCGGACCCCTTTGGTGCTTAGGTGCCCATCCACTTCAGCAGACAAAAAGCCTGACGCCTAGGCGCCAGGAATTGCCAAGAGCAGTTGCTACAGTTTGGGAATTCAAACATGTGGATCTTGTGAGGGATCATGTAGGGATGCAGAGGAATCATGGATGCCAAGTTAAAGAGCCTATAACTAGCAGTACGTTACAGGCTTGAGGGAGATTGAAGCATTTAGTTACTTATTAAGTTTTGCTTGCTGTGGAGACCCCTTCTTCTTTTTTCAGTGCAGAGGATTGGGTGAGTTCTACAGGAGCAGTAACCTAGGAATTCATGAAGAGTACTGATTAATTCATCTTCTAGTCGTTGTAAAGAAGATAAAGCTAAGTCTTTTTGTGTACTTTATGTTGTCTTTCAATTGTAACAATTAGATAAAGGATTTCTCTTTATTTCAGTTAATCTATTTAGTGTTTTTTATTATGCCTCTTGAGTAGATTTTTTACTCTTCTTTATGATGATTAATAGGGTGGATGGAATGAGAATTACATAGTATTTTATTACTTTATATGGTGATGATAAAACTTCAGAGCTTAATTTACCTTTTAGTCTGGTCAACTAAAATTTTAAAATATGTTATGAACAATAAGTCTTGGGAATGTCTATAATAGAATCAAATAGGATTATAACATTAAACTATGGGTTATAGGTGGATATGCCTTGTGGGGAGATGTGAATGTTATGGGAATAAAGTCATTTCTAACCAAGCTTCTTTATGCTGCCGGGAGGGGATAAAGAAGATTATTGCTCATATTTATCACTAAACTTTTCTACTTGTAATTCTCAATTTCATGAAATCCTCTTAACTCATTAAAAGGAAGAGCCACTAAGGATTTGATACTTTCAATATAATTGTGATAATTTAGGATTATTATTATTGTAGGACTTAATTTTTTTATTTGCTTGTGATATATTAGGATTAATTTGTAGGACTATAACAAAACCCAAGTTTTTGGCTATGACTAAAACCAGTAGACTAGAGCTTTTCATAACAATCGTTACCTCGTTCCCTGTGAGATCAACATTCTGGACTCTAAAATCTGATATTATTAATACGACACTTTCACTTGTATGAGCCCCCTGTATGTTTTTGCACCTGGAAGCG